AGTTTTCTGCCGATCCACTGTACCCAACCTGAGAGATTGCTTAGGACCCCGTTCATAACGAACCGACCATGTTGCTCGTGCCAAAAAACCCTCGCCGGTCGGGCGCCATCCGACAGCCTTACCATCTCTGTAAATGTGGGCCCACTGTGGTCGGGGAAGTGAAGTATACGGCTCCTACCTGGCGCCTACGGCTTTCAGGGCACGCTTGTTGGTCAAATAGGGCTCCTTCAAAGAGGTTTGCATTGGTATAAGCTGTGTAAGGAGTCCTGATGCACAAAGAAATTCGTAGAAGGCAATTTACTAATATAGCCTAGCAGTAGAGCTCCGCCCGACAATCACCTTACTGGCAAGGGAAGCCAGGAGGGTTTCAGCAGACTGCATACGCCCAGATATGATTCCAAATCTTCTCCCTGCGCAGAAGGACTCCCGCGAAAGTGGTAAATGGCCCATGCAGAGGGATCGTGTTCAACTTCATGGCCATCTAGCTCGAGTTCGGCACCCCAGTTTCCCGTCGTGTAAATATGCACACAGCTTACCGCTCCATGGGACCTCATCATTCCCCATTAAAGCTTCAGAGGTCACTGGTCTAGCATAGATATAATCCTTTCAATTCTCCGAGTATCACGCAAGCCGCGGCTTACGTACCTAGAGCGGGACCGGACCCGGTATATTTGTGACGAGAGCGGATTCAATTTCCAATGACTCATAACACTATACGGCGTACCAACGGGCTAAGCAAGAGTCCAAACACTTTATATACTATATAAGTGGATGCGTGTTTCATACTTAGTCTCCGCCCTTCGTACACTTTGTTTACCCAGTAGCGCCAATGTGTTAAGAGAGCACGTTCCACGGTGTCACTCTTTCATCGGGACTATGAATAATTATTATCAGCGCTTTACCGGTCCGACGGATAACAATTGTCGCCGGATACTTCGTGCCGGCCCTATAGCGGAGAGCCACGTAAATGTTGATTCACCGATAGACATATCTTCAAAGCCTTCGGCGCTTGAATAGTATAAACCGGCTAGTCGGGCCACCCCGGCCGCGCGTGAACCCGTTACTACGGGTTAAGTATCCGGGCTTCGTGAGCTAATTTTCGTATGGGCCAGGGAAAGCATATCTGCGGCTCCTCACGAGAATTTCTCCTTAAGATGAGATAGGCGTAATCATGGCGCAATCAGGTAGCTCATTGCACCCTCATAGCGTTAATGCGTTTAGATTGAAGGCAGTTCTACGCTTAGTCCGTCTATCCGGTGTCGCAGGGGCTCGGTTATTGATCATCAAGTAAAGCCCCGATGCCCATTTGAATCTGATTAAACATAGCGAAGTGCCGAATCTATGAATGCCTTAATTTCTCCCTGAACTGCGGGTACCAACGGAGTAGCCAGCCTACTTCGAAATGGGCGGGGGGCCAGGTGGGCCAAAAGGTTATAAGATACGGATGGCCTCATATTAATTGGTTGGGACATTAACTGATCTTCGCCACGCCTCCCACATTTTGATACGATTCCGCTTGTAGAGAGCGATGACGACTGTTACTGCACCGTGTTGGTGGCCACGCTACGGGTTACCCTTGAGACTGTCTTACCGAAGAGGCTGTATGATATTATCCGGAACAGGTACAGCATTAACAAAGTGTATGCGCCTCGTAAAATAGCATAAAGTGTGGGGTTATCTGAGGGGAGTTCATCAATTATGCGTCCCCCTGGACTTGTGGAGGGATCACTCTCACACGGAATTTCAGGACTCCATATACTTACAGAGAGACGGTAGCGACAAGAGACGGCCTAGTGAACAGGCTGCAGACTATGTGTCAGCTGCTCTTCCAGGCTTCTCTTTTTACTTCCCTAGAGTCATACCAATAATTAAGGACTAGGCGGTCGCACGATCTTAATATGTACGGTCACCAAAAAGAGAGTTGGTACTTTACGCCTAAGAGTTGTGTCTGGACTTTCGCAGATCCCTTTTAGACATAGCTTGAGCTAAACTGCTACCGGCGTTGCACACGATGAATGGCTGCGGTCATGCAGCTCTTGCAACCCGTTGCACATTCTCTCGGCCGGGTATCAGATTAGAGGTGGGAGGCGTTATAATCCAGTTCTGTGATGATGTAGAACGATCAGCTCGAAGCCCTATCAACCCGCAGAGGCCCTAGCGACTAATCCATTCTGGAGTCCGCGAATTGGCGATTTTCGAGGTGGTATCAAGTCAGTTCCGTTTCTTTAATTCCCATGACCTACATTCTCAAGAAGAATCAAACGATTTTTCAACACGCTTGACAGGGAACTGCATTGAAAGGCTGGCCTACTGCCCGTAAACTGCGATTCGCAGCACGCGCGACACTGCCTAGCTGGACAGCGATGGGAAACATATATTCCCGTCCCCAGCACATAGGCGGCGCCTTCCTTCTCAGCAACCCCGCGCACACTAAACAGAGACATTATCCGCATAACCTGTTGATGGTACCACCTCAAGGGGTAGAAAACCTCAATACTGGCTTGAGCACGCCTCATAGACGTGGCAACAGTTACAAGGTCAGCTAGATCGTTCTGCAGGGTACTCCACCGACCCCAATGTTAAGAAGTAGATAATGATCATATCTTTCGTTGTTTTCTTTCCAGGATTGCGGGAGGGCCGCCCTCATGGACATTGGTGGCGTGGTAAACAACCCCAGCTGTACACTCCAGTTATCACATTTAACCACCGCTTTAACAGGAGTGATCCATCCGACGGATGCCTCCTTGCGAGAACCGCGTTCGGTGGTCCTCTCCGCTTCTCTCCTTGAATTTGCCGACTGCAGTGGAACGTATATCGTCGGGGCGACGACTCCGTCTAAACCTGTTTCTAATCACACCTTCTACCGGCGGCAATCGTGCGCAGGGTTAGCCCGACGCACTATCTCCGTCAAATCTGCACTTCGAGCGTGCTTATCCGCACTGAAAAACGCCCATCCTAGTGCTTGAGTCAGTCCGCTTTGTAAGATAGGGTTATAATGATAATGCTGCGATGGTAACATTAGGAACGAGGACAGATTCCACTCCCAACTATTCGACCCAGATGGTGGTGTGCACCAAGCACTCCTGTGGGGGGGCTTCGCATACGCTCTACCCTCAGTGCGATTAACTTCCATGAAGAGGCTCCTTACGCCATGCACATTCGATCTACTCCTACCGTATCCGTTAGGCTCATTTATCAGTATCGTGGGTAAGAAGAAAAATAATCCAAGCCCCGAAGACCAGCGCCCCGGTGGCATTTTGCGCCACCACAGGTGATGTGTTCCCAAAGGAAGTTCCTCTGCCCAGAATACCTTAGACCTAATCGACAGTAGTCAATGTCTTACCGTGGTGGCAACTACAATCATAACCATACCCTCGTCACCTCGTCGGATAATTGTTTTTCACAAAACCTCACCGAGCGACACATAGGATACAGTCTTCGAAGTCGGAGCCTGAGCTGGGCTGCATCAGCTTGCTGCGTGTCACGCATCGAGATACAGGTACACTCACAAGAGCTATCACGTTGTCATTGTTAAGCTTCTCTTGAATCTCTTGGTACATAACGGTCTGTGTTTGTCTGAATACTCTAATTGGGATCGCTATCGCAGGTGCAAAACCCGCTCGCGCCTAGCGTCCCCAAAACTGCATAGGGTCCTCCTCCAAAATCCGCTTCAACAGAGCCCTGTTGGATGGCTCCTTAATAATAGACACTATCGCCTATGGACGCCTCACCCCTGCGTCAAAGCATAGGCATTCTCAGGAAGGTCTTAGCGTGAGAATACACCGCCTGGGCCGTGTTCCCGGGGCGAGACCCTTCCCGACACGCGCAGATAAGTCCGCGGTTGAAGAGTTCGTTGCCTATTTGGGTCATCAACACTCCTAGCGCAGGACCTTCCGCCTTTTTGGTGTTTTCAGGGGGTTTGGTTACCTCCCTCCAAGAGCCAAACCGGTCAGACTTGATACGCTGGTTTCAAGATTCCCGGCCCGAACTCTCCACCTTCGGTCCTATGAAGCAGCCTAGGACGCAGTGAATCTAAAATTGTCCACGCGGTAAACTCATTAACGCGCACTGGCGTTTGTGGT